AGGAACTACTGGTATTTGATCACAGTTGAGTGGAAAAAAAGGTTAATTTCCTTCCACGGACTGATACTCCACCTATGCAAAAGGCTATGTAATATGTCAACACAAACTGTACCTCAAAGACTTTTTAAATTTTGATTTTTCCTTATAAAGAGAGAAAAATATGAAATTTGGTAGTTAGGCAGGTAGGGTATGGTCTGGCAGAAGCTGGAGAAGGGAAATGTATATGATCATAATATATTATATGACATCATCAAAGAATCAGTAATAAATTATTTTAAAGTGTTAAGTGAAAGAAAGTTTAAAAGTTAAAAGAAAGAAGGGAGGAAAGAAGGAAGGAAGGAAAGATGGAAGGAAGGAAGGAAAGAAGGAAGGAAGGAAGGAAAGAAGGAAGGAAGGAAGGAAGGAAGGAGAGAGGGAGAGGAGGGCAGGAAGGAGAAAGGAAGGAAGGGGAGAGGAGGGAGGCAGGCAGAGATGGAAGAGAGGAAGGAAGCAGCACATCTGAAGTGTTTTTTTTTTAACTTTTCCTTAAAAATGATTTTGATTTAGTTATATGTTTATTCTACTATTTTGAGATTATAACAACATCATTTTCCCCTTCCCTATATCTCTCCAACCCCTCCCAAATACCCCTACTGGCTTTTTCAAAATGATAGCCTTATTTATTAATTTTGTATTTAATTATATATATAATTATGAATTGATATATGAATATATATCTCCCATTTGAACTTATTTTCCTGTTTTTTTTAATAACACTGAAACATTCTTTGATTTCCCTAGTTCTGAAAAAATTTGGTCTATGTTCAAGGCTCTTCCCTCCCTCCTCACTCTTTCTTTCTCCTCACTTTATAGACAGTACTATTCTCAATTTCTGGGTCACTCTCTATTATTTCTAATATCTACCTAAGCCAGCTAAATCTCATGCACATTAGCCTCCTTGGAGGAGGACTGAGGCATAGAAAACTACTTGGTTTAAAATTACTATTGGTATGTTCTCTGGTTTTCAGACCTCAGGATGCCTGTGATGATCTCTAATCTTTAAACACAGCTATATAGAAACTTTGTTGGGAAGGGTCTAGGCCCTGCTTTAAATGATGTGAAAGACTTTGAAGATCCCCCAGGGAAGGCCTCACTCTCCCTGGGGAGCAGAAAGAGGTTGGGATAGAGGGTCTCGGTGGGGGGCAGGGGAGGAGAGGATGGAGAGGGAACTGGGATTGACATGTAAATCCCAGTTTCTAATTTAAATTTTAAACATGGTTACTAATTTAAATTCTAAAAAAGAAAAAAAAAACTATGTTGTAAGTAGTTTTAGAGCTGGATTCTCAAACCCCAACTTCCATCAACCAGATCACATACAAATTGTCCAAATCAGTGCTTCCCAAATTGTCTAGTTTATAAGTCATGTACAGAATACAACAGTTGTCTTACACCAGGAGATTTTTGTGTAGTAAGTTACCTAAGAGTAAATAGTTGATGGACTTGGAATGATTTGCCCAAACAAAACATTTTTGTTCTATCACAATTTTTTTTGTCATATGTTTAACATTTTTAGTATTTTCCATACTGATTGTCAAACTTTCACATGAATATTTTTTTGTAAAATAGCATTCCACTTTACTTACTTTATTTTCTTATTATATTTTTTCTTTAAAAAATATGTTTTGATAGATAAAAATATATATTTGATCATTTCTTTATATTCTTCATCTTTTCTTTTCTGAAAAGATGTATATGTCTGAATATTGAAATGCATAAATGCATGTAAATATGTGTATCTTTGTTTATTTACATATTTATGAATGATTCATTTGTTAATAGAATCATACATATATTTTACTGATGTTATATGAATGTGATACAATTTGGAAAAGAAATTACACATGTAATTGTGGCTTTCACATGTGTTCCTGTATTCAGGGTAGAGATGAAGACATCTATTGCTTAATGAATTTACATACACATTTATATGTAAAATATGATTGGACATGTGAGTTTACTACTAACAGAACTCCTCAAACAGAACAATGTGAATATGGGTTGCCTTCTTTCTTATAAATGGCAACGATGTTGTCCTGGTTGTATGTACACTATTATATTAGAAAAAATATTTGTGTAATTAGAAATGCAAATGAAAAATGTGTATGTTCTCAGTTAGGTGGGCAATACTTGCTTCTTCCTTTGCCTTGGTGAATCTCACTTAGAGAATTTGCTCCAAGCACAGGGAATCATTTTAGAGTACCTGTCTTCACCTTTGTCTCCTTGAAAACAAGAAAAGGGTTTATTAGGTTTTTCACTCATGACTTCCATTCTGAGAGGAGATTGTTCAAACCAAATTTCATTTCAGAAACAAAATATTGGAAAATGCTATGAATATGCGAGTGACCAAAGACTTATGATTAAAATGTCTTTCAGTCTAGAAGTGATTTTAAAAAGGGATCAATTTTTGAAACTGCAGAAACAACCACCTTGCCTGAATGCTGTTAATTCATTTTGAGGGGTAAAAATAATTCAGTAGCCCAATAATCATCTTTTCCTGACCATTGGAATTGATGGAAGGTATTTGTTGGAGAGATGGAGAATGGTTTAAAATAGCTGCTGCATTGTAAACTATGAAGATGTGTAAGGTATTTTTTGTCTTAGGTTCATGGAGCATACAGGTTCAAGCTGCCCATTATCTTCTGAAACTTTATGTAAATCTTGTGGGGATATATGATTGGCAGGGTTGAGCATATGATGAGGTACTTTCTATGTTTTTTCATAAGATTTACCAACAGCCTGAGTTGGAAATAGAGAATCTCCAGTGACTTTGTCACAAGAATGCACAAGCAGGCAGCTGCATATTTCCATGAAGACTGTTAAAGTGCTGCAAAAAAAGGACCATGCACTCTTCCCCAACACTTTGTAATGCTTTGCAATCAAAATGTGCAGCTCATGACTCTGAAATTATAATACCTTTTAGGTAGATACATTTTGTAATTCAAACATGCTATTTTTATTTAATATTTAGATTTTTTATTTAGATAAATTGGCAAATAAAAACGACATAAAGTCATTCTTTTTCTTTTGTCACCAGCATTTAGGTATCTGAAACACAGGTCATATTAGCTCATTTAATTTATTGTGAACTGTGTATTGCCATTTTAAAATTATGTCTTTTATGTTTTTTGAAGATAAACACATTTTTAATCTAAACAGACAAGATGAGATCTATCGAGCAACCTTGATAACTCCACTTGGCATCTCCAGGAAAGTGTGTTCATTGATGAGTTGGGTTCCTGCTGAGTCACTCAGGAGGTGCTCACCCTCACAATCTTCCTTCCTCAGCCTCCTCATCACTAATATTAAGAGCATGAGGCCCATATCTGGCTGAAGGTTGGCTATTGGTGTAGAACTGTAAGGAAGATCACACCAATTGAGAGAACAAGGGAGAAAAACAAATCATTAAATAAGGATTCTCCTCATTGAGTTAAAGTACTAATTTATTACCTAGAACATGACTTTGGAAAGTGTGCACCTTCTTTTCATGAAGCAGGAATACAGCCCTTGGATATTATTTTAAAAATCTGCTCTCAGATAACCTATTGTTTTAACAAACGAATACAAAGTGATTTTGACATTGTTAAAAGCAAAAGAAGTAATTTTCCACAAAATATTAGCCCTGCTGTCAATGCCTCAAGTATAGGTTTAATTTCCAGATATTTTTAAAGAAGAAATATTTCTCCATCAGCAATTAGTTATTTCTAACATGTGCTGAATCAATTCCCATCTGAGTTATTGGCCTCTTCACAAAAAAAAATAGTAATCTAGTTTTTAATGCATAACTAGAAGCATGCTTTTTGCAAAACATATTTGTCATAACTATTACGTGTTTATATTGAACAATTTATACATTTTTGAGAAAAGATGTGAATCTCTGTAACATTTTGGAAAACAGTATTAAGTGTATAGAATTATTTGGATATCTTATTAAGGACATATTATAAGGTTCAATGTCTTTAGTCCAGGCTCAATAGCACAAAGGGCACATGGGTACAGAGTTTAGATTTTTATTACTTTATTAGGATAAATAGAAAATTTGCTTCATCTGGTGTGTGTGTGTGTGTGTGTGTGTGTGTGTGTGTGTGTGTGGTGTGATTAAATTTTGCTTGTGGAAACATTTTATTTACCTTATTTTATCTCATAAGTCTAGAATAAAATCAAAGTTGTTTTGCATGTAATGTTTTCTTGTAAAGTAATATTATTACTCCATCAGCACTCAGTGGGCAAACATATTTTTCAACATTCCTCTTTTAATTAACTTGTCTTACAAACAAAGGCTACCAGATGAACACAATTTATCCACAGCATGTATTTTCAGCTAGGAGGCAGATAATTATTGCTCACTCCAGAAATAATGTTCTCCTACTTGCTCATGTAAAACAAACTTCAAATGTCATTTCGTGCAATAAAGATTACACAGTGCAGAGCCGACTTAAGAGAAGACAATTACCCAGAGGAACTTCTCATTAGCCTGAAGGTCAGGGGTGAGACATGATCACCAGCTCTTGCTAACGCAAACCTAAATGGCCCTACTCTAGATGTAATGCCCTCATAATAACACAAGTGGGGACAGTAAAACCTGAGCATCTATTGTGATATGCCTCTAAGTGGAACTGTACATTATGGGAACTGGCTCAGTACCTGCCACCTTGCCACCTGTGTCTGGGGATGAGAGCATGTTGCATGAAACAAAAAGACTCTTGGAGGGAAAGGCCTCCTTTAACAAAACAGCAGTTGCCTGGCGACATTTAAATGTATTGTTTCAATTAATCACAGCAATTGTAGCGTGATCCTTAAGCATTAAAGGGAAAATTGCACTTTCAAACAGTTTCTCTCAAGCCAGCCAGATACTCTTATATTCAATGGGGATTTGGGGGTTGGGGGCAGGATATGTATGACATTAGAAAGCCCTAGTGGAAATCATGCTTCTGTTTTAACCGTTTTTTAAAACTTTTCTGCAGTGTTATATCATCTGTTCCCTTAAGCTGACGAACCAATACTCCCCTGAAGAATAGAAATTTGCTGCGTTTTTTTTACACGAGGTCCAAGCAGATGAGCAACGCAACAAAACGCACGAAAAGTATTAATTCTGATATTCTAAACTGCAAAGGAGACAACGATTTTTCTAAGAATTTTCAAGGAGGACATGAGAAAGACCCACTATCAAATGAATGTCATTTACCAGTGTTGTGCTGAAAGGAAGTGCTAAGCAATCCAGGCCTCATGGACACTTAGGGAAGATTGGTTGTTTTCTAGAAGCTGCCCAGGTAGGGATAAGGTTCTATAAAATGACAGTGTTGCCTTGTTGTCTGTGAGGGCAATGCACACTAAGGGGTAAGGAAATACTCTAGTTCCCACAGAATTTCTGAGTTTTTGCTTAATGTAGAGTTGGTAGCCCATCTGGGAAAGAAAATTAGTTTGGGATGAGACCCAAAATAAATATGGTAGATAATTTACCCTGAAATTGTGTAGACCTCAGCTTGAAGTCAGAGGCAATGCAATTCCACTCTCTGATGAGTGTTCAGTGATGCACTGATCTGTGGGTATGGCAATATGGCATTAGGAGTGATTTTAATATTATATCTATTTCTCGACCTAATAGTACTAGGTTCTTCATTGGGAGCCTGTGTGTCACTTACTAAATATTTTAGAATGCAAAGAAGAAAGGAAAGACTGATGAGAGAATCTCTGATTTTCTACTTGAATGTGCAGAAATTAACTATGCCACTTACATGATCTTAGTTTGGTTAACCTAATCTATGTTCATGAAAAATCAGTGTGGGTGGCAATCGTTTGACGATGTATTTAAGGCAGGAGGTATCAGAGAAGTGACATCAAGCCTCAAAGAGATGCGCCAGCCTTCTTTGACTCCCCATTGGAAGCCTTACTCTCTCTGAGGACTGGATGGGCTTGGGTAGGGGGAAGGTGGGGAGAGTGGGAAGAGGGGAGCAAGTGGGAACTGGAAATGGTATGTAAAATGAGAAAACTTTTTTTTTTAAAAATTCATGTCTAAGGAAGAAAGAAAGAAAGAAAGAAAGAAGCATAGAAAGAAAGAGAAAGGAAGGAAGGAAGGAAGGAAGGAAGGAAGGAAGGAAGGAAGGAAGGAAGGAAGGAAGGAAGGAAGAAGTCCCCCAGGCACAGAGATGTAGTGGTGTGAACCCACTCACCTGACCCAGATAGGTGCTCTCACTCTGCCGGTAGAGGGTCAGGGAGCATCCATAGCACAACGGGACACCTGACAATGCCCAAGAGGTATGGCAGGTACTTATTTCCTTTTGGAAATTTTGATGGCCCCTAAATTGCAAGCTGTTTCGTCTGGTATAAATGAAAATATGCTTTCTAATTTATACAAAGTTATGAAAGTTTCATTTTACGTTGTTTTGTATAAGAACTAGAATATTATTCTTTGTGTTTTTACAGAACTTTAAATAAAATATATCATAGATTAATTGTTTCTCAAAAATCTAATATATTTTAATTTTTCATGAAAATTGCATTGGCCCATTTCTCCACTCTCCATCTCTGGATATCATACATTGTTAATGTATATGAAACCAAGTAGTATAAAAAATCATATTATCTAAATTTGAAATAAGCAACAAAGAACTTAATGGAGAAATGATTATAAGAATATTTCTGTCTGTCTTTCTGTCTCCATACATGACAGAAAAATACTGTTACTGGTTTTGAAAAATAAGGCATATAATTTGATATGACACTAGAATGCATCCTGGGGTGAAAGAAATTAAATTTAATCCAGCACAGTTTTGAGCTGGCTCTACTTAAGCACATCTGTACATATATAATGCAAAGGTTTTGCCCACCCTTCCCACATTTGCATGCTATAGGAGGAACCGAAGTTTTAAAAGTATTAAAGTGAAATTTGTTCTCCTTCAAACAACCCTTTCCTCCTACTCCCCTCCTAAGATGGACAGAAATAAAATTAACTGAGCAGAAAGGGACAGATATGGAACATGAAACATGACCAGATAACACCATCCCATGGTCAGATCCTGAAGCTCACACTCAAGATAAAATGTGGAATTGAGAGTTTCCCTTGTGTGAAGACAAACTTTGTGTTTCTTCACTTAGGTGGAAGAGGACTAAAAGCCAGGACAGAAAAAAAGAGCTCCTTCACAGGACTGCATTGTTTCAGAAGGGCCTGTTTTTTTCAGGCAAATGAAATTTATCACTTAACAGAATAATGTGAAAAACAAAACAGCCCTCAGGGCAGACTAAGATGATTCCTAATCTTTACTGTAAATAAACCATGTTCTGGCTGAGTATAGAAGAATAAACTGTCTTTCTCTTACTGTTTTTCTCTTTCTTACAGCAGAGTTTCTGTCTCTATCTGCTTTCCTGGTGTGGTTCCTCCACATTGTTTTCTACCTTTTGTCTTTCCCCTTTTACTGAATTATTACCAACACATTTTAAGAACAATTGTGAATCTATCATGTTCAGTTGAAAGGACTATTCTATGAAAGGATAAGAACAATATTTAAAAGGTAGCCTGTATTTCCATAGTAAAATGGATTAGCTTGTCTGTGAGGTAAGAGTGGATGATAAGGAAATTGCTTGTAGTAACTAATTTTTTTTAAATTTCATAAATACTTAAGTTTCACAAGTTAGTGAGATTAAACTTTTCGTTATTGTCTTTTTATATACCTATTAGGAATCAGTCTTTGAAATATGTATATTGTGATTCTTATTTAGTATTATATTATATTGATACCAGAAACAATAATGTAATGAGAAACATGTAAATGATTATCAATCATGATTTATTGTAAAAAGTCTGTTGAATAAACATATTATTGTATTAGGTTATCAAATATTCATAGAAAGTTTCTTACCATTTATAATTATGATTCTATATAAAAACTCTATTCTATATCTAGAAGCAATTGAAGGGATAGTCTTAGGATATGAACACAGCTTAGTGTTATATTCTTGATCCCAGCATTTGAAACTGCCACAGTAATGTGTGTAATGTAGGTGCCTACAAAACATTCTTAAGAGACACAGACCTCACAGGAGTGAAAATTCCATTCTAAAATTAGATAATACTTAAATGAAGAAATGCTTCAGAGTAATTAGAGACAGGCAGAGGCAAGTAAAAATTTTAGGATTCTCATTGAGTTCTTGTATTAGTGCCCCCAAGACCCACTCATTTGTTACCAAGGTTACAAAATATATAATGCACACTATATGTAGCAAGTAAAATAAGTCACAAACACTGTAGCAATTTACTAATTATTTTGTTTTTCTCTAAAAACATTTTCAATTTGCTTTTCAGCGTTTTACAATGGATGCAGAAATTATTTGTTTTCATCTAGGTCATTATATATGGGCAATTATTATATTTCACATCAAATAATGCTAAGAGAACACAAAAAATATCATTTTCATAAGACCATTAGTGTGTTGTTTTCTTTGGAGGATTATAGAACATTTGTCTGAGAATCATTTATTGACAAAATGTCAGTAATATGCTCAGTACTTGATGTTTAAACTAATGTGGAATCTACCAGGACAGTTTCTACTAAAAGAAAAAGAAAGAGAAAAAGTTTCAAGTGGTTGATATGTTTTAAAATTCCTCCTAAAATATGACTGGCAGAAGCTTCTGCTAGCCTCACTTTCTGCTGCTATACTAACACACGTGGGATGAAGTCAGAGATGCACCACACATTGTATAGCATCCTCTTCTACAAAGAAACTCCCATTGATTTAAAAGATCTTGAAAACGCTCTGTAGAAAAAATAGTATAACAAATATGTGTGATTCTGTGTATGTATTTATCTCTTTTATTTGAATTCTCTCTGTCCTTAAGAAGAAACAGACAGATGGATCTAAAGAGGTGGCTCAGTGGTTAAGACCATGTATTGCTCTTCCAGGAAACCTGAGGTCCATTCACAACACCGATTTTGGACAATTTACAAGTGCATGTAACTCAAATTGTGGGAAAAGATGACCGTTTCTAGCCTCCTTGGCCAACAATGTTCATGTGGTATAAACACATACACAGAAACACACATAAACATGAGTAAAAGTAATTTTTGGAGAATTTCATTTTTTTTCTCATAATATAACCTGCTTACAGTTTCCCCTCCTCTCATTTCATCACCACCTACCCTACCTTATGTATCTACTGCCTCTATGTCTTATTGGAAACTAGCAACAACAAGATGTTTTTAAGATGCAATATGATATGATAAAAAAACTAACACATTAAAATTCAACAAAACAAACAAAAAGAAGGAAAAGAGACCAACAGAAGGCCAAGAATTAGAGACCCATTTATTTGCACACTTGGGAATCTTATAAAACAATAAACTGGAAGCCATGATACACACGCAGAGGACGTGGTATAGATCCATGAAAGTCCTGTGCATGCTGCTTCGGTCTGTAAGTTCATATGACCTTTGCTTTTCCTTTGTGTACTTCATCCCCGCCAGCTCTTACATACACTCTTTCCATCCCCCATTCCACAGATTCTCGGAGCCCTGACAGGGAAGATTTGATTGAGACACCCCATTTAAGACAGGGTGTTCCAAGTTCTCTCTCTCTCTCTCTCTCCCTCTCTCTCTCTATCTCTCTCTCCTCTTCCTCCCCTCTCCGTGTGTGTGTGTGTGTGTGTGTGTGTGTGTGTGTGTGTGTGTGTGTGTGTGATGTCTGGCTGTGGGCCTCTGCATATTTTCCCATCTGCGACAGGAGCAAGTTTCTCTGATGGTGGTCAAGGAAGACTCTCACTGACCTCTTCTGTCTTAGTTAGGTTTTTATTGTTGTCAAGAGACACCATGACCACAGCAAAGAAAACATTTAATTGATGTGGTGGCTTAGAGTTTCAGAGATTTAGTCCATTATCATCATGGCAGGGAGCATGGCAGTGTGTAGGCAGATATGGTGCTGGCTACATCTTGACCAGAAGGCTGCAGGAAGTAGACTGACAGTAACACTGAGTGAATCTTGAGCAAAAGAGACTTCAAAGTCTGTTCGTAAGTTGCAGACTTCCTCTAGCATAGTCACAACTCCTAGTAGTGCCGCTCCTTGTGGTAGCCATTTTCCTTTAAACCACCACAATTAGCACAACAGAATATCACTGAAAGTAATTTTATTGCTGCTTCTTAAATAAAAAATAAATTTTAAAAGAGGGAGAGAAAGACGAATTCAAGCCTGTAATACTGAAGATGAAATTAAAACAATTAAAATTCACATCATTATAATATGTTATTCTCGAGCAACATTTCCTTTCTTGTTGTTATTTATTTATTCATCATGCCTGCTAATCATGACTTGTGAATTTACCAAAGCATTGGGTTACTCCTACTTAGGTTTATCTGCCTAACAAAGTTGTGAATAGTTTTTCACAGTAGGTTTTTGTCATTGTTTCATTAAAACTGATTATTTAATATCAACTTTACACCTAAACCTGGTCCTCAGAATCACCTCTTACGGACACATTTCTGATTAAATTGTACTTTCAGAAACAGTATTTTGAGCTTCTGATATTTTTTTCTTCAATGCTCACATTCCTATCAAATCCTTCCTTTTTCTGTTTTGTGTTTGAAAGAACTTTTTTCTTTTAAAATAGTTCAGCCTCAAACAACCTCAAAAACCTTGAATCAACAGATAGATAATAAAAATGCCATATGTATATCACACTATAAAATACTATCTATCAGTAAAGAAACCTGGAAGCATGAACTTTGCCAGTAAATGGATGAGCAGGAAATGTTCATGTTGAATGAAGCAACCCAGACCCAGGAAGACAAATATTACCTGTTCTCTCTCACCTGAGGAATCCAGAGCACATAGCCTAAAGTAATTTTAGGAAAATAAAAAAGGATCATTGCCAGAGTTGGTGTGTTGGAGAGGAACAGAGAGGGGAATAACAGGGCACAATGACCTGATC